ACACGTGTAGGCTGGATTTTCATTGGGTATGGGAATAAGTTTTAATCGTTTCCCCATAGATGGCATTAATAGTATCGCTTGCATCTTTTCTAACCTTTCGATACATGGATTTAAAAGGTATATATGTAAGCTGTTAAACGCAGTATAAGACTTTTGTTTGGACAATTTTCATATCGCATCGAAAATGTCGGAATTTGTTCCAAAAAAATAGGAATTGCGGAAAGTTCTTCTCCACTACCATCTTTTGAAGAAAAGTGCTGCGGAAACGTGCGGTTTGCTTGTGGATGTTTACGGCGACCATGCTCCATCGGAGCCAACTTGCAGATATTGGTTCCAACGCTTCAAAAGTGGTGATTTCGATGTCAACGACAAAGAACGCGATGGTGCCCCAAAAAAGTTCCAAAATGAGGAACTTGAGTAATTGCTTGATATTGATCAATGTCAGACACTTGAAGAATTGTCTGCAGCATTGTTGATCGATCCACCGTTGGAAAACGCCTACATGCGCTGGGAATGGTTCAGAAGGCAGGAAATTGGGTACCACACGAGTTGAAGGAAAGGGACATTGAAAGGCGCTTGGTCACGTGCGAAATGTTGCATCAACGACAAGAAAGAAAGAGTTTTTTGCATCTGATCATCACTGGCGATGAAAAATGGATTCACTACGACAATCCTAAACGCAAACTAGCATGGGTGAAGCCAGGTAAACCAGGTCCATCAACGCCAAAGCGCAATATTCACGGGTCAAAGGTCATACTCTGTATCTAGTGGGATATGCGGGGTGTAGTCTACTATGAGCTACTGAAACCGTCCGAAACTATCAATTCCCAACATTACCGACTTCAACTAATGCGTTTGAAACAAGCTATTCAAGAAAAACGGCCGGAATGGTGCGATAGACACGAGAAGCTGATTTTGCACAACAACGCTAGGCCACATGTTGGTCAACCCGTCCGGACATACCTAGAAGGGGTGAGGTCCTACCCCAGCCACCGTATTTACCAGACGTTGCCCCTTCAGACTATCATTTGTTCCGGTCGATGCAGTCGGCACTTACTGAAGAGCGCTTCACCTCATATGACAGCATACAAAAATGGGTCGATGACTGGATCACCTCGAAAGAAATAGAATTCTTCACTCGAGGAATTCGTTCATTGCCCGAAAGATGGGCGAAGGTTGTCGCTTCAGATGGAAAATATTTTGAATAAAATCATTTAATATTTTCATATTCAAAATATGTTTTTTGTCTACATAAAAAACGATTAAAACTTATTCCCATATCCAATACAATAGGGCACTATTTTCTGTTGTTAAATTTTTCCGCATCACCTATGATTTGACGCGGGCAGCTGTTCGCCAGATGTGTCTGTTTCTCATATCCATTGTTATATTAAGAGAATAGAGGTTCGAGAAAAAAAAGAATTTTTTTAATTGCTCGGAATCCGCAGAACGTAACAGTATATACAACACGCGCAAATTCATTTATACGATATATCATGTACGTTCCAATTACTTACGAAGATAAAATTTGTCGATTAAATGTCTCATAAAATTCTACAATAAACATCTCGACATATTTTATTACATAAACAAGTCTGGATGAGGGAATTTTGTATTACGGTTTATTATGGAATGGAATTAATTAACATAGATGGAATTAGAGCTGAGGTATTTGGCAATTTCCCCCGTTGATTACGATTCAAACGCACGAAGGAAACAGAGAGAGAGAGAGAGAGAGAGAGAGAGAGAGAGAGAAGCAAGAAGGGAGGGAGATAGAGAGAGGAAGGGAGAAAGAATTTGCGTCATACAAGCGATTAGTTTAAATAATATTGAAAATCGTCGCGTCATCGCTTCCCGTTACGAGCGACATAATTTACAATCGAAGGAAATGATACGTCGAAAATTCAGATGTAAATTCAGATGTAAAATATAGTATGACCGATCGAATGTGCAAATAAATAAATACGATTAGTTTTGACTATTGTCAAAACTATTATTATAATCCTATTATTGTAATCAACATGATCGATTTAAATAATTAATCGTAAGAGTAATGCGTGTACAAATCCTTCGCGAAGGGGTCTGGTTGAATAAAAGTACACCGTGAATGTCAAGCGCTTCTTTTCCAGAATTTTATTACAAAACCTTTTTTTTTGGCGAGGTTAGGAAGTACGAAAGAATCGGAAGTCGCGCATTCGGTACACTGATCCTTACGATACGATGCCGTAATTTACGGCGGCTGCTCGATTGTACATCGCCGCTATATCGTGAGGTGTGCAATTCGCTTTACTGGGACGCGACCTCTTACAAACGCGGCAGTATTCCGTGACTGAAAAATGAAGACGAGTCGCGACGTTCCGCTCGACATTCGAAACAGCACGCTTTCTTATTCGCTCTCTCATTTCCTTTGCTCGCGCAATCCATGCGCGGAAATTACAAGCAATATTTAACGCATCACGTGTCACATATTATCATCTTATTAGCATCTCATACGTTATCGCAGTTCGACTCATCTGTCGCAGTGACGAGACACGCGGTCAAGCTGTCAAGTTTTTTATCCAGTTTTTTTCTTTCTGCTTTTTTCATCTTGATGCCTTTCTCATCTTGCGCGCTCCGCAACGTTGCTTTCATTCCCCTCCTCGTTCGTGTTAACCCTTTGAAACATGGTGAGATCCTACAATCCCACCTTTTCTTTCTTCATTTTTAATTATTTAATTTATCTTTTTGATATTTTTGTCTGAACTTCTTTCACTTCTAAGATATGTTAGATATTGATATACGTGCTAAAAATGTAAAATGTCAAATGTTTCTTTTTAATTTAAACATCCTGCAACTAAACAAATTGCATAAAATTATATATTTTTCAGTAAAAATTCATTTAATAGTGATCTATAAAAACAATCGTAACGGAACTTGTTCATTTTACGTTTCTGAAATCGCCGATTACGAATCCGGGGTCAGAATTTCGAAATTCATAATGGCGGATCTAATGGTAGACAAAAAATTCAAAATCCTTCGATTTCGACAAAAATAGGTACATGGAGGTTTTTTGGGTCGCTGATTATAAATTTGTTATCAGATTTCCGAAATTAAAATCCATAATATCATATCAAAGTTAGCCATTTGAACTCGCCATATTAGATCCGCCATTTTGAATTTTTTAATTTCGACTCTGTATTTGTAATCTATGATCGAAAAAAAATATATATATATACCAAGTTTGATACATATCCATAATATCATATCAAAGTTAGCCATTTGAAGTCGCCATATTGCATAAAATTATATATTTATAGAAATCTGCCATTTTGAATTTTAAAATTTTTACTCCAGATTCCTAATCAGCCACCCAGAAAACCCTATGTACATAATCAGTTTCTTTTATTATTGCATAGAAGAATTCGTGCTTCAAAGAGTTAACGGACCGTCGCACAGTAGGGTCAGATAACATTTTTTGGTTCAAAATTCTCTAGAGACCTGAATTTCCAACCCATTTTCATTCACCCAATTTCACTGCCAGTACTGAAAATACATAGATTGTGTCACGTATACTATAGATTTTCAGTACTGGCAGTGCATTTCGGAACGCGGCCATAATATAGCGTATTCAGCGGATTGAAACTATGAAATTAATCAACAGACACATCGAGATTTATCGATCTTGAACCAGAAACTCATTAACCCAAAACTCATATGCCCAAAATACAAAAACATCAAATATAGACCCGTTAAGCACAAAACTGAGGCATTTTGAGTCTTCAGCACATCAACCTAGAAATCTATCAATCCGAGAACTTTTTAGCTCGTGGATGTATGAAGCCGTATATATTAAGAGCCCCAAATAATTCAAGAACCCAATCTAGCTATAGGCTCGAACCCATTGAGGTCGAACCCAAGGCACTACTTTAAACGGTAAACTTTTAAGACAAACCCTAAACCCATGAACCCTGAACCGATAATTTTTTCAAAATTTCAGCTAGACAGATCTCTTTGGAATTTATTCAGAATCAACCTCATTCATTGGTGTCGATGATCGGTTGGAAATTCAGGTTTCTAGAGAATTTTGAACCAAAGAATGTCATCTGGCCCCACTATGCGTCGGCGAGCTCGAGTCATTCTTCTCCTGCTTTCGGCCACCGCTGAAACGAATACCGATACGACGATGTCGTCGCTGTCACATCGGCTGCTCGCGTGTTTCATGACACGTACAACGCACGCTATCGTTTTATCATACGAGCGCCGCCTTGCAGCGGCTACTTTCCTCTGCGAGCTAGCTGCATCTGTTCCGACGTGATATATCTCATTACGCATTATCTCCGTATTACCCCATCGGAGTTGAAAGGCGATCTCCGTTGGTTTCCTTCCCTCCCCTCCTCTCGACACAGTTTCGTTCATTTTCCTCACGCAGCCACGCGTATTCGGTCGTTGGCGATTTTTGCGAAAAGATCTTTCCGAGATCATGCCGGAGTGAGGAGCCCGCGCTCGGCCTCGATGATCCGCCTCAGCGAATCGATCAATGACACCGCTTGCTCCGCGAGGGAGACTTATTGTTGTTACCCGATGAGAAGTCATTCGCGAGCGTCACCGTCGACCGAGTATTAAGTCCGCATCGCGTTCCAACGAGCTCCTCGCTCGCTCGCCGGCGCCAGCCGCCGAGAACGGTGATTTCGCGCGATCACCTTTCACGCAACAGGCGCAACAGGCGAGCTTACGATAGACGTTATCTTCACCTTTCGCTTTCGTGGATTTTTGCGGGGAAAAAGTCTTCATCGTGCGAGAGTAAGACCCGCGAGCGGCTTATCGCTGCCTCTCGGAAGGTTCTCGCTCGATTCCGACGTCGTCAAACGGCGCTCGCTTGCGAAACTGCTTAGACACGATGAAGCAAGGCGCGCTCATAGAATCGATCCTAAAAGCCGCCGCACATTGTTGTGATAGGAAATTGATGTTCAAAAAAGTCTTCGGCATTCAATTTTCAACCGATTGGGACGATTTTTTTTTTAAATGAAGGTGAGAAGATTACCTACAATTCTACTGAGCGCTATTTTCGATATCAGGAGTCCTAACCTTAATAGAAACAATACTTAATAGACAAAGTATGAAATATTGGTACAGTTTCAAAAGATGATTTTTTCTACTTCTGTCAACGCGCAAACCATTATAATTGCCAAATTATGGTATTGGTTTTCTCCCAATGTCTTCTTACACTTGCGATATATAAATCCGAAGAAATCAATAGCTTATGCATTAAATCTTCATTCGTTGCTACTTGGGAAATTTCCCGTGAACTGTGTGAATCTTCGAATTTCCTTGTTTCTTGCTTCTGCAGCTTGCAGCTTGCTCTGCAGGTTTAAAGTTTATGAGTAGTAAAAGATTTACAATCCATGGATTTATAGTTTGGTAATTATAATGGTTTGCGCGTTGACAGAAGTAGAAAAAATCATCTTCTGAAAATGTATCAATATTTCATACTTTGTCTATTAAGGATTTAGGATTCCTGATATCAAAAATATCGCTCGGTAAAATTGTAGATAATCTTCTCACCTTCGTTTAAAAAAAAAATCGCCCCAATCGGTTGAAAATTGAATGCTGTAGACTTTTTTGAACATCAATTTCCTGTATCACAACACTGTGCGCCGGTGGCGGGCTCGCGCGGTAATCGATCACGACGGGATCGAAGACAAGGTTCGAGGAAAAAGTCTGAGTGTTTCGAACCCTCATAGGATGTTCATTCCGAAGCTCAAATTCGATGTCAGAGTAAACTTGATTGCTGCAAATAAATCGATACGCTAATTGAAGCTTGTAAAATTTGAACAAGGTAACCAAAAGATGAAACCGAAAAATGAAATTAGTCGGATTGTTTTCAGTCAAATGAATTTCAAAAAAGGTCAGATTAACGCTAACGTCCGATGAGGGTTACGTTCTTCTATTTTGCGTCGGGTTAGGTCAGACTACAACGAGGCCCAGCAGATGACTGCCTGTCACTAAGAACTGCCAATCGTGACAGCCGGCGCGTTTGTGGCCTCACCAGGGTTGCCGGGTGTCCTTTGGGAAGGATTGTCCTTTCTAACGAAAATTCTTAAGTCCTGCCAATAATTTACCCTAAGGTGTTACTAACATATATAGTTACTTTAGAACAAACTTTTGTCAATAATACACATATGAAATATAAATAAATTTTACCAACAATATACCACCGTCTTCCAAAAAATGAATTTTGTCAATAATACACCTGTAAAATACACCTGTAAAATACACATATAAAATGTATAATATACGTAGTTGAAAATCGACGCGCGGAAAGCTGACGGACGCATTCCGACGATCTTCTCTTTTTTCCGCTCATCAAAATTCTAGCCGTCTCTCCCACAGACTTCTATATTATACACTAGACCGATAACTGGTCTCTTTAACATGTCTCCTAAAAGTATGTATTAAAATTTCGCGCATGCGCATTGCAAGGTCCCGAAAGGAATATAACTACACCGTACAGGCATTTTCACTTCGGAAGATGTTAATATTTATCCAATATTTAATATTTCCTCTTGCAATGTCACATTCAATGTTCGCATTCAATATATAGAGTACTTCTTCTAAAGTAAAAATGCTTATACGGTGCAGTTACATTCCTATATAAAGTACTAACGGAATCTTGCAATGCGTATGTGCGCACGATTTTATGTTTTACATAAGGGTCACTTTTATACGTGAAAACCAATGAAGTTCTCAGTCTAGCTTATATATCAGCGTTTTTCAACCGGCGTATCGTGAGAGGATTTAAGGTGCGCCGCGAAAATTTTCAAAGATCATTAGTTAAATTATTTTCGAAAGCAGTTCAAAGCACAGTAAGTATATATGTCAAAATTAAAACCTCTTTAAATTAATTATACGAATCATCGTTAAATAAACACCGGCTTATTTCTAAATTGGGTGGGGTGTAGCCTTTATTACAAATTATAATAAATTGTTTTGTTTCATTTTTTGGCCGTGACGGTGCATTTGGTTTGTCTTAATAAATAAATAAAAAAAGGTATATTCTTTTTTATATTCCTTTTTGATCATTATAATTTAAGTGTGTCGCAGAAGTTTAACTATAGGTTCAAGTGTGCCGTGAGATAAAAAAGATTGAAGAACACTGTTATATATAGAAGTCTATGGTCTCTCCTTACTAACTTGCAAACCCGGCAACCCTAGCTTCATCGTAGCTGAGTCGCGTTGCGCAAGCGCGGGGACTAGCTTCATCAGCGCAACTTCGCGCGAGACAGCAACTAGGCACGACGGCGGGCCGACGCGAAGGAGAGATGAACGGCGCGGCAGTTTCCCGCTCGAATACCTCAGGAGATAACCCTGAAGAATACTCTCGCTCTCCGTCGCGCGGGATAAGACCGATCACGCGATGCAGTGTAATTATTAACGGTCGCGCATTGTACCGCCGACAATCGCGTCCGGCTTGTCCGCGACGTCTTGTCTCGAGCGCGCTCCTCCGGCCGCTCGTTTCGTCTCACGCTGATCATTCCGCGCGACGAACTGATAATCGTGCTGCTCGCATGCGCGCGCGCGCATACGCACGCGGATCGCACGAGCGTGTAAGAGCGCCGGCCAGGGATTATACGCGCGCTCACGCGCGACAAGCGCGAACACAAGCCGAAACTATCCTTCTACCTTTTCCTACCGGTATGCGCTAACCTACTTTCGTAACTCACGTTGCAGAAATATCGGCGGAATAAACGCCGAGAGAAGTCGCCAGAACGTCGCGTTATCTTGCACACGGCGCTATTTTTCTTCGTTTCCTCTTTTGTATTTTACGTCTACGTGCTAGGACCTATTGCGTGCCAACCCATCCCCCGATAAGACCGCCGGAAGTGTTTCTCTTCATCATCCTCCTCTTCTTTTTTCCTCTCTCTCTCTCTCTCTCTCTCTCTCTCTCTCTCTCTCTCTCTCTCTCTCTCTCTCTCTCACTCTCCCTACCTATTTATCTCTACTCGCGCGAATGTTCACCTGTCCCGCGAATAAGAGGACCTAGAAGACGGCGAGTCCATTAGTCGGACTTGCCGCAATGTGCGTCGTTCAAACTATACATGTAATACTCGGTGAGCGCGGCGGCGCCGTTTGAGACTGTCGCGCAGCCGTTCGCCTTTGGTTCGCGTTGCTTGCTCGGCTTCCCGTAATTGTTCGTGTAGAACGAGCCGAACATGTAGATGAATATGCCGGCGTTGAGCATGAGAAGAAACGACAGCGGCTTCGGGAAGTTGCAGCTGGTGAAGAGCATCTGCAGGTTGTGCAGGAATATTATGCCGAATTGCACGATCTGCATGGTGGTGAGGTGCCGCTTCCACCAAAGGTACTTGTTCATGTGTGGCCCGCACGCCGCCAGCATGTAGTACGCGTACATGAACACGTGGATGAAGGAGTTGATGACGCCGAGGAGGGTCGGGTGGCCGCCGGCGAAGAATTTGGCGCCGATCCAGGCGCAGATCGGCATCAACGAGTGGTGGTAGAGGTGCAGGAACGAGATCTGCCGATTCTTCTTGCGCAGCACGAAGAACACAGTGTCCAGCAGCTCGATCAGCTTGCATATGAAGTACGTGTAAACGGCGCGGGCCATCTGCGAACAGAGCAAGCGCGCGGCGTAGCGCATTTACATGAGCGGATCGAGGTGGAGCGCAATGATAGCTGTAATTATCGTCGGGTGACATTTCGTCCGGAGAACGGTACTGTTCCTTCATTTCTCGAGCGGACACGGAATTTACATAATTTGCCACCGGTTTTACATTGCCACAACAACATCGCGCTAACAACAACTACGACTGAACCCCGTCACTTTCAGAGACCGTGGGAACAAGAGCTTCCGATCGCGAAACGCGCGCAAAGTCGCGCAGGTCTCCCAAGATCAACAACGAAGGAGGTTAGGTTTTCTCCTTTTCCGATTTTTTCCGCTTGAGCTTCGTCGGCTCGCGCAATCCACGAAATCAGGCCATTTAGTTTCACGAATGTCAAGCTGATTCGATTCGCGCGTCTCGAGCGATTTATCGGATTGTCTGACTGCAGGCATGCTTCGAAATCAGTTTCGGTAACTTTGGTTTTGGTTGGTGAAAGGTTGGTAAATCTTATAAACTAACTTCATACGTTCCGTTCAGCTACCGATTTTATAATATTATGCCCAATTTTTTCATCTCTAGATAAGTTGTCGATAACTTTATTCATGAGATATCTGCCAGAATCGATTTTCTTCACCTTTGTAAAGTTTGTATCCGATAGATAAACTTATCCGGTATCTGAAGTAGCGGATATCTGGCAGATATTAATTCCAATGCCCTGACATAATTAAAAAATTACAATAATATGAAATCTGCTGTTGCTATTTTTATGAAAACACAACATGGATTTATTACTCATGAATATTAATATTTTTTAATCTGATGATAATGACGATGATGAGGAATTTGTGAAAAGAAGACCTTATACGATAAGAAATAAACCGAACAATTTTCAAATGTGGAATGACACAGAATTTTTCGAACGATTTCATTTGAAAAAGAATATAGTGCTCGAATTATTAATGCAATTGAAGACCGATTGTTAATACTGTGGAAATTACTTTAATTAGTTAATACTAGCCCGAAAAGGAATATGTTGCTGGCAGAATATGATGATTTATAGCAAATTTCTATCACATTTTGTGTCAAAAGCTAGTAGCATGAAGAATAGCTATCTGTTGAATACATAACCAGAGGTTTTAGTGAAGAAAACGAAATTTTAGTTATCTGACGGATATCTTTATTTGGAAGATAACTATTGGTAGGTGTGAAGAAACCGGGCATTAGACAAACAAGAAAGTTCGCGTCGTTTCTAGGTTTCGTCAAGCTGCGCATGCGCACACTATCCATTGGAAGTGTGGTTATGTATGCAGAAACCAAAGCTTATTTAATACAACTTATTTAACAAAAGCTTATTTAACACAGAATTTACCGACGTATAACACTTAAATTACACGAAAATTCATTATTTAAAGTTTTGAAAAAGTAACCTTAGTATGGCTGCGTCAAAGTCGATTATTGAGACTTGCTTATTTTATGAATTCGAATTGGGTACCAGGACTTCAGAGGCCGGAAAATATCCTCCGCTTTCGGAGATGATGCAGCGAGCGAACGTTGTGATCGAAAGTAATTTCAGAAGTTTGCTAAACAAAACAATCGGCAAGACGTCGAAAAGTTGCAGCACTTTTTTGACTGCAAATAAGAAAAAAACTTTTATAAAGGTGAAATAGAAAGTTGTTAGATCGTTAGAAAAAAGGGTAATAGAAGTCGAAGGTATCCTACTTTCCTGAATAAAGTATTGTTTGATCCACCTTGTGCATTTATTTCTATTGATTAAAAAGACACGAACTTTCTTGGTTACTCAATATTAGATCGAGAATTGGATAGATTTTTATCAGCTGATCATGTAATTAGTTTCGCGAAACCACTTCTGCGAGAATACAGCGAATGAGGCGTAGCTTGGACGTTCGCGGCCATATGCTATTTCTCTTTGCAAACTTGGTTTAGTTACCAGTTTTATAATATTAGACAGAGAAATGAACAGGTATTTTATCACTCGTTATCTTGATTACCGAATCTGTTGATCATAAAATCGATCGCATGAATCAATTAAAATTCCGAAACGTATCTAGGTTAGTTTAAGGTCACCAACCTACCAACTGGTTTTACTTGTAAGGCTACCAACCTTACAACAAAAAAACAAAGTCTTCAATCCTCCAATTTCAATCCTCCAATTTCAAAACAAATATTCCGAGTTTAACAGCGACTCGTCGTTGTCAGTGAGAATGTAGAAACATACAAACTTACTCGGACTGGATTAGGGTTGTACGAATAGTCCACCGGTTGGCAGGTGAAATTGTAGTCGTACAGCCAGCCAGCCACCAAGCCTTCGTAGACCAGATAAAGACTCAGCAGAACCTGTATAAAATTGTAAACTATCATGGTGTTTCTCAGGTTGTACGGCTTCTTATCCTTCATGTATCGCGGCCCGGCGGAGACGCAAAAATATATGTAAGTCACCACGATGGTCAGGATCGGACCAGGACCCGACAGCAGGAACCATTCTTTCGTCCTCGGATCTGCGGAAAAGTAATGATGTTATTCGCTGCTCCCCTTTCTCCCTTACTTACGATACGGTGGAGGATTTATTCTCCCTGCGACATTACCGTGTCGGTTGCCCATCAGATCTTTGTACCACTCCATGATACCCGACATCTTGTCTCCGTCGAACTTGCAAATCTGCAAAGACACACCGATTAGTCGACAGTTTCTCCAAGCGAGTTGCTTACGTCGACTTCGCATCTTTCTCTGCTCCTTGCCGAACAAGCGACCGTTCCATCCTTCTCGAGACGAAGGGTCGACCTTGAAATGACAGTCCTGTCCGCGGACACGAGAAGAGACGGACTACAGGCACGCAGCGGTCCAATTTTGCGAATAGTGCGACTCAGCATACTTGCACACTGTTCATAGCAAGCGATAAACGAAACTCGTCAAGTCACATGTCCTTGTGGATATCGTAATGAATACGAAAGTGAAAGGGGAAGGTTCAAGGGGAAGGCGCGTGCGCACGTGCGCACGCGCGGCGTATACGCGAACGACATCCTGCGGAGAATTTATTATTTCGCATTTCGACGTGTTTAAACTCTCGTGCAACGAGAGGAAGGCTAGCTAGATCTCGCCGTGGACCATTGCGACACGCTATCAAGTCTCTCTCTCTCTCTCTCTTTCTCTCTCTCTTTCTCTCTCTCTCTCTCTCTCTCTCTTTCTCTCTCTCTTTCTCTCTCTCTCTCTCTCTCTCTCTCTTTCGCACGCGCGCAATGATGCGGCAACGTCTCGCGCGTTTTGTCATTAAGGGACTTGCGCGCACATGACGAACGGCAGCGCACGGCGCATTGTCACGCTCATGTCCTCTTCGGTCTCGTCCTTAGTCTTCCTAATGAGGGTGCAAATTGTAATCGCGCGCTAGGTGATAACACGAGTAACACAAATTCTTTCACAATTGCAGAGAGTGATCGCAGCAGGATATAAGTGCGCGCTGCGAGGAGACGTCACATAATGGGTCGAAACACAAAATTTGCAAAAAAAATAATTATTTGATAAATAATGTAAATCTATTAATACTTTATCATTTATTACTATAAAAGTAGGGAACTTAAATGCATTAACTTGAAAATTTATAATTCTTCTTAAAAATTATACAGCATATTTAACTGAACTATAACGTAAGATATATTATTATTATATATTATATATATTATTATTACTATTATCACAATAACTAGATTACTTTTATCTTTTTAATGTTTTATTATTTTTTTATCATTTTATTAAAAAATATGTTTTTTACTGATTATCTTCTTCTGAACTTTCAGTTTCATGTGAGGACTCAGATTCTTCTTTTAATTCTTTTATTTCATTTGAAGATATATTAATTAATTTTAAAACTTCAAAATTTAGTGAAGATTTCTTATATTGTTTTATATGGCTGCATGAACTTGAATATGGGCCCGAACTAAGTATTAACCTACGAAATAAATCTTCATTTATTTTTAAATAAGAACATTTTCTTATATGATGTTCGCGATAATATCTAACATGTTTATTTTTAGCTTCTTGAGCTTCTTCAGAGAATTCTCCTATGGGAAGAATAAAATGCTTAATCATCATGGATCCGTGAATAAGGATTTTGTGTGGCGAAATAGGCATATAATAATGCAATATTAGCGCACGTCGGCATCGAAAAATTGTTGTTACTTGAAAAGTTGCAAGTAACTGCAGCCAAATTAAAGTTATCTATTTTCTTTGAACATTATATTAAATATTTATAATAACTTTTTTCGTTCTTAAGTGTTCCTTCATTTCGTACGGAAAATTTAATTCCAAAATTGTCAAGTTTTAGGTACTCTTATTATGTATAATGTTGTAATGCATTTAATAATAATTGATGCGTTTCAAATATGTAATTTTATACATTGAGGTATACTTATAAACATTTATAAACCGCGTTACTACATTTCAATAATAAAAAAATATATCAAATTTTAAAAGATTTGAATTTCAGTAGTAAAATTGAGCACTTAACTTAGGCATAAAATGTTAATACTTTATGTCCAATAAAACTTTTTAAATAAATCCTTGGAAAAGGGCGTGTAGTTCAGTTGACAGCTTATTAGTGGAAGAACATAACATACAAATTTCGAAGCTTTGGAACAAAGTCGAAAATTTGATTATTTTTCACGTTTTTTGCCGTTCGAACCATTGTGCGCCAGAAAAAGTTGTTCGCCTCCGTGGCGGTTGGATGTGGTTCCTGTAACTACGCATATTTTTGATCTTAGGGACTGCGTATGCGTTGTCCCTGTTTTTCTTTTATCTTCATACTACTGGAAAATGGCATGACAATGGACAAAGCTGAATGCAGTCCGGAGCCATATATTGAACTGAACTGAACTGAACATTGTGCGCCAGCTGCTCCGAAAGTCTCGAAGTCTCGAGTCGTCCGCGACCGCGAGCCATTTTGACACGTGAGATTTCGTCCGCAGCGCGGACTCGCCGTCATTGTAAATGAGAAACCCGTCGTCGGTCTGAGATCGCACTCTCATCAAGCCCATTTGTCTCGCGGAGCGACTTGAGTCGAACGGCTCGAGCGTGACGCATTCAGCGAAAATACGATCACAACATCGCGCAGATCCCGCCGATGGCGCTTCGAAATTAACGACCGGCGAATCGAGATTACTGAAGACGACGGAATTTATTGCCCATGTTATCTCTGCCTAATGCATCCTGACCTAATATTAGCTAACTCTCGCGAGTCCGCCTCGACCATGAGACGGCGAGAGCGAGCGAGGGGCGCAGGTAGTGAAACGGAAAGTGAATCGTTAGGATTCCTCGTCCGCCAAAACGAAGCGGCCGACGAGACGGGAGGCAAAAAGTGCAAGTCGAACACTCTCGGGCGGGTCGTTGCACCGCAATCTTCCACGATCGCATCGCAAGGACGGGGGAGCGATACACGCGCGGGGGAGGGGTACATGCCGAGGACCACTCGAAGCAGAGGGAGACATTATCGAGAGAGTACGCAAATGGGCTGTCGGGGGTTCCTCGAGGAAAAGAGAGAACCGCTCGAACCCGGTCGCTGCACCTTCGCGTGCACGTTACAGGAATTTTAGGCTGCTGGCCATCGCCCGACCACCGCTGGGTCAAAAATCCTTCTAGGGAAAATACCAGATCCTGGTCAAGTTCGGACCAAGGTGAACGAGAACGAGCTGACGAAGCTAACGTCCTCTTTCGTCGTACCTAAGGCTGTGTCGGTCCAGCACCGGCGGGCCTTCCGAAAAATGGTTGCGCCGCACCCTTGAAGACGCCGCCGACATGACGCGCCTCATTAGACTGACGCACACGCCTTCTACCGGTCTGACAGTTAACGTCACGCGGGCCGCCCAGTTTGTCGTGCACAATCTGCGCACAATGCTCCATAAATTGGAAGAAATCGAGCTCCTAATCTGATCGGTCAGCCGGTCATCGACTGCGATCGCCGCGTGACCAGGACGTGTGGTGAAACGTCGGTAATCCAGTTCGATGCAAGTGATACGATAATGATACCATTCTGCGGTGAACGTACCGCGAGCGGCAACAGAATCGGCCTGGTCATTGTTCTGTCTTCCGTGACGACGGGGTTGCAACGATTACCATTTCAATGAGGGATCTTGGAGGTGTAACGACCGGGGCCTCCTTGAGGAGCAATACGATACGACCGCGTGCGGTACGAAATTGCCGCGGTTAATCGCAATTCGCAGCAGCGGGCAGCACAGCGGTTTCCTCGTGAGATATTATAGCCGCAATATGTTATGATAAAGCGCGACGACGCCTCGTCCTCACGATTCGCGTCCGTCACTTCATCGTCCTGCGCATCTGTTATTAAGCGCGACCACGCTTGGTTGATCGTTAAGCGATCAGGTGGGAGAAAGGAGCGACTTGCTTGAATGAGATCGAGAATCCGGGGAAACACATCGTCTGAATAACGGATGCGCCATCCACGATTCATAATTGCAAATCGAGGATGCCTCATCAGCATGACCTTGAATGGGAGACCTTGAAGAGGAGGAAAGACTGTAAACCGGTCGCGATTATATCCTGCGTTTCCTGCCGAGCGGAGCGATTTGGAACGAGACCCGCCGAGGATCAAACGAGCCAGCGGACGATAAGAACGACAGTCAGGATCGATCGCGATCCGATCTTCCTGCCGGTTACATCGAACGTAACGGGAATGCCGATTAAGATGCACTTACGATGCAAAGATATCTCGATGTGCTTAGTCAGAAGGCGATGTCACTGGCCGAAAGAAAGAAGATATTACGTATGCCATGCGTAAACGTGAACTAGCGAACCTCGTGAACATTGAAATGTCATCATCTATTTAATATATCGCGGCTGCGCAATGTAAATGACCGCTGATAAGAGCAAGCGTCATTGTATGTTAAGGACGTTAACCGCGCGGTTACATCGAACGAATTAATTCGAAGCCGCCGGTGTTTGCCACTTCAATTATCGTCATCCTTCCGTTGCACGTATCACCGCGTCCCCCGGTGAACGCAGCTATCCCTCGACGAGAGATGAAAGTCAATTATCTCGGTTTGACATTACGTGCAATTACAACGCGTAGTCCGTGCCGTCGACGTGTTCACGTGTTTGTTACGGCGACACTTTTGCTCGGTTACTTGGGGCTTGAAGATTCTTGCTAAACTACAGCCTTGGTCCGTACGTATGTACATACATATAATTTCATGTCTGAAGACAAGGAAAGATAAAACGTAGAAATATACAATTGCGATTGTAACTAATGATGCAACTGGCCCTGAGGAATATTAGAAAGTTTATTGACGAGATGCACTCGTGATTTTTTTTTCAATAACGCAGGGAAGGGAGAGAAGCGGAGATCAATCAAGAGAAGAAGAAGAAACAGAGAGAGACCAGGGAAGGGGGAGAGAAAAAGAGAGAGAGAGAGAGAGAGTAAAAGTGGCTTCAAGTGGACGAGATTAATCCTTTAACGCCCGACTTTTTTATAAGTGTTCTAAGAATAAAAATTGAGTTTTTTTGAACTGAGATTATAAGTAGTGATAACCAAAAAAAAATATCAGAATTTTATATCTACGAAAAACTACCTTATGAATAAATGAGTACATGAAGTTTCCGCTTTTCGTTTGTTGGTTTCGTTAGTTTGGCTTTTTTATCGTTCGTTTTTTGTT